CAGGAAATCAGAAGATGAACTGCGTTGGGAAAGTCGGCTGTGAGGGACCTCTCAAGAGTACTGAAGAGCAATGATGTCAGGCTGGAGACTAAGGTGCACCTGATCCGGGCTATAGTTTTTGCAACTATGTGCTATGCATCAGAGAGTTGGACAGTGAATAGGGTTGATAGAAATAGGATTGATGTCTTTGAGCTGTGGTGCTGGAGAACAAACAGGTTTGTCCTGGAGAGGGTAAAGTCAGAGTGTTCCCTGGAGTCAAGGATTCTGAAGCTTCATCTGGCATATTTTGGGCATGTTGCAAGGAGGGACTGGTCCTTGGAGAGGACATCATGTTTGGCAGAGTGGAGAGGCGGCGAAGGAGAGGAAGAGCTTTGGTGAAATGGATCGATTCTGTGACTGGAGCGGTGGGAATAAGTGCGTTTGAGATGGCTAGGTTGGCACAGGATAGAACAGCATTTAGAGCTCTTGTACATAGGGTCGTTATGAATCTCAAGTGACTCGATGGCATATAACAATAACCACAACAACAACTGGTTTATTAACAAAACTCGAATACAAATTCTAACAAATATATTTCAATTTACCTCTCCCCCCCATCAAATTGTACAACCCAATGATTAATCCCTCTCTCCCCCTGCACATCCATATCCTTCTACTTCCAGCCACTCCCACCCCTCCTGGATCCTTATGCTCATTCTACAACAACAGTTTTATACAATATTTGTCCTTGTAGGATGCAGCACAATTTCTTTCCACTAGGCCATCCCTCCTACTTTACAGAACATGATATTTTTCTCCAGGGACTGGTTCCTCTTTGTAACAGATTCAAAGCTCATGAGTTGAAGTTTCACTTTCTTACTTTTTAAAAAAAAATTGTTTTTATTGTTAATTTCAATGAACATTTACAGAGACTTTGGATTTCAATTCATTCATTGTTGCACTTTTCTCTCCTCCCAACCCTCCCCCCCCTCCCCACTACGCTTCCCTCTTGGAAAAGAAAAAGAAAAATTCTTTCATTGTTTTACAGTCCCTCCCCACCAGGTCCACTCCACTATGCAGTCTTCACTCTGGACTCCTGTCATGACAAAAATACCTAATCACATATCCCTTTTAAACAGTTTTCTCCCTCATCTGTTTCAATGCAGTATACATTACTGAACCCAT